TGTCTTCCCTGTGTCCCTCAAGGCCTAGGTTGGATGCTTCACTGTATATTTGCAAAGCACCCTCTACTTCTCTTTTAGTTGCATATATCATAATGTGTTGCATTGGTTTATTTCTCTTGACCCCTCTTTAAGTTCCTTGAGGTCAAGGATGATTGGGTTTTCAATACCTTGTATATTCTTAATGTATATTTCTTGAATGGTGAATAATTATTCATTCATTCTAAAATATATGGTGGAAAAGGGGGAATTATAGAGTGTTAGGGGACGATGAAAAAGTTCTGGAAATGATAGTGGTGATGGTTGCACAATTTTACTTAATGCATACCTAATTGTACATTTAAAAATGGTTAAAATTATCAATTTTGTTATGTATATTTTACCACAATAAAAAAATAAAGTTTTTAAAGATTAAAAAACAAAGAAGGTGAGAGGTAACCAGGGTAAGCAGAAATCTTTACTAGGACTTATGTGGACCCAAAGACCCAGTTTGCAGGTACTTGTTGTTAAAGAAACAAAGTTGAGATGTTAACTATCTTTATAAAGCACAGCAGATTGAGGTAATATGTATATAAACTATATACATGTAATATGAGAAGGGGATTTTTTGGGTCTTGGAAACGTTTGCTCTTTCCTTCCTGATTTATATCTGTAATTGGTGTGTACAATCAAAGTAATTAGGCCTATGTTGTGTTAAAAAAAAATTAAAGAGTTGTGATTATTTTGAGACTATTTTATAATCTCCTCTACTAGGTATTAGTTTCTTGAGGGAAGGAACTGCCTTTGCTCAGGTATGTAATCCTATTGCTTGCCAGTTGATAAACTCTGATCTATTTTTTGAATGAATGCCTGGAGGCAGGATCAGCAAAGTTGTTTTTGTTGTTGTTTTTTTCGTAACTGGATTGAAATGTGGATATTACAAACAATGTCACCAGTATCGCACTGGAACAAGAAAGAGAGAAAAGAAACTCAGAGCTATAAAGTTGGGAGGGGAGAAAGTGTAAAGATTTATCTAGAAGTTCAGAAAGACTTTCACACCATTTGATCAGTTTTTATAGACGAAACAATTATTTTATAGATATTAGAGTATAATATGTGAATTATTATTATTTTTAAAGATTTTATTTATTTATTTGACAGAGAGAGACACAGCGAGAGAGGGAACACAAGCAGGGGGAGTGGGAGAGGGAGAAGCAGGCTCCCCCCTGAGCCGGGAGCCTGATGTGGGGCTCGATCCCAGGACTCTGGGACCACGACCTGAGCCAAAGGCAGACGCTTAATGACTGAGCCACCCAGGCGCCCCGTGAATTATTATTTTTAATATTAGTACCTGTGGGATCCTTCAGTAGAGACCTTACTGAGGTCATTAGCTGTCACTAGAGCCCTTGCTTATCCGACGTTGTAGTAGCCACTATTCAAAGTGCTGTAATTTATGGACTCTAAATTTCATGCATTCATTCACCAAGGATCATACACTATGGATGTCTAATGGACGGGCAGGTAAGGAAAAATTTCTTTTTATGTTATATATGCTTCTTTTCTCCTTTCTCCCACCCTTGCTCCCTCACATGTTATCTTCCTTCCTTCCTTCCTTCCTTCCTTCCTTCCTTCCTTCCTTCCTTCCTTCCTTCCTCTTGTATCGTTATCTGTATTTTTAGGACAGACTTGTAATTAGAATAACAAGGTCTCCATGCTTAATCTGTGTAAGATAAAAAAAAAACATGTCCCCGGGGACTGATAATTATGAAGCACTTAGAGGCAATTCAAGGACTAGAAATTTGGGCAATATTTTCTCTCATAAAGATGACTTTATTCAAACAAAGATATATTTTTTAAAAGATTTATTTGAGAAAGAGGGAGAGAGCTTGAGCAGGGGGAGGGTCAGAGGGGTGGGGGAAGAAGCAGACTCCCTGCTGAGCATGGAGCCTGACACATCGAGAGTTAGAGGCTTAACTGAGTGAGCCACCCAGGTGCCCCCAAACAAAGATTTTGAACTGAAACTTTAGCTTTTACTTTTATAGGTTCAGAGGTGTTAAATTTTTCAAAAGTCTTATTGTGCTACTGTCTGAACTAAGGAATGTAGGAAAAGAATGATAGAACAGAGGCATCTTCATAGAGGCCTAACTTTGATATTAAATACAGGGATAGAAGGAAAGGAATGGTGTGTCATCTTATTGATCTTATTTTTCCTGGGCCAGATGTAGTAGAAAAATGGAGGAGAAAATATATAAAGCAAAAAATTCCTTTGAATATATGGACAGGTGAAATACCTGTAGGGGGGTAAAATATTTTACTGCTAAAACTGCAAATTGAAATTTTCCAAAATTGGGAGACTTATGGTATATTAGCTAAATACTGTAACTAATAATAAATACTTATAACTAAATTAAGCATTACAGACCCAGATAGATGAATTCATTCTTCAACTTCTTAACCCAGAAGTTCAAAGTTTTTGAGATTGAATTCAAAATACCAGGATGAATAACCGAGTATAGATTGATTTTCCAATTATATTTCAAAAGACAATAAGCCACTGCCTTCACACACATATATATAAATATATCAAATGAGGGGAAAAAAAGGAAATACCAGAATCATCAGGAAAAAGTAACGTGAAACATAATAGTAATTCTTTTAAAACTATTTGAAGCATACTTATTATACTTTATATTTTTTGACCTTGTTAATGTATTTATTATGAAACTTCAAATATATGTTAACAAATTTAGCTCTTGTTTTTTAGAGTATTGACTTATTTTACTTAAGACCATACATATTTGTTATAAAAAATCAAGTTATATTCAACAATAACCAAAACCAACCCAATTTAAAAATAGGCAGAGGACTTGAATAGACATTTCAACAAAGAACATGTACAAATGGCCAATATAAGCACATAAAAAGACATTCACTGACATGAGTGCTAGGGAAATGAAAATCAAAACCACAATGAGATACTACTTCACACCTATTAGGGTGGCCATTATTAAAATTAAAAACAAAAAACAAAAAATAACAAGTGTTGGTAAGGATGTGGAGAAATTTGAATCCTTGTACTTTGCTGGTAGGGATGTAAAATGGCGCAGCTTCTGTGGAAAACAATTCTGCAGTTCCTAGATAGTGGTGATAATTACACGAAATTGTACACTAAAAAATGGTTAAAATGGTAATTTTTATGTTACGTGTATTTTACCACAATTAAAAAACTAAAAAAAGAAATCTGGTAATAAAGCAACTACAAAGAAGAGATCAACAAATTGTTCTAAATCCAACTTTCTAGGAAGAACCCATGTTAACATTTGGTAGTCATTCTAATACCTTATTCTGCACTTTAAACTTTTTGTTGTGAGGTATTTCAGAAATTATCACTATAAAAAGTATAGATAGTAATATTAGCAACACTTATGAGTAGAGAGATGTTGATTTATTGAATGTGAGCTGTGACCTAGGTGTGAGTAGAAGTGCCGTGTGCCCGCAAAGTTAACCAGCCTGAGTGGGGTTCAGACTTGCAACTGTGGTCTTATGTAAGATGATCTCATCAAGCCACCCTAGCCATAAAAATGATCACTAAATGAAACTGGAAACTGTGAAAAGCCACGGGTCACATCATTGAATGTATCTGTGATAAGCATCATTGTGCTCTGCTTATGTTATTGGTAGTACTGTTTATCTTAATTTGTTCTAATCCTGTTATTATAAATATTTTCCTTTTATTCTATATCAAATATTTCTGGATATAACATTATAAAAGAATATTGATAATATTTGCTTTTCTAGATCACTGTGGTATGTTTTTAAAGAAGAGATGTAATAGCAACTAGTTGAATAGCCTGCTGCAAATTAAGTAAAGTTTAGAAAGTCAAGGGGTGTTTTGTTCCAGTTTGAACTCTGTCATTACCTTTCTTGTAACCTTAGACTAAAACAGCATCATTAAAGCCCAAATAGCAGTTGACTATTTTGGGTATTTTATAGTAAGGCAAAGGTACTATAAAGAGTTGGAATAGCCAAATGACTAAAATGTAATTATTTTTTTATCTCCCTTTCCCCGCCTCCTCAACTTTCAATATGTATTATTTATTTAGCAATTATTAATGAGGAAAGTCTGAATTTCTAACCGTGCTCCATCATTTATTAGTTTTGTGATGATTTCTTAACCTTTCTCAGCCTCCATTTCCTCATCTGTAAAATATATATAATAATAGGGCCAACTTCATAGGTTTGTTATGACAGCTCAGTGAATTAATATGGAAAACAAGTCCTTAAAACAACATGTGCATATAATAAGTGCTGGATAAATATAAGCTAACTTTTACTATTGTTGCTGTGATGATGATATACCTACTATGTATTCAACCCTAGAGTGAATATTATGAGAGCTAGTAATACAAAATACTTATCTCAAAGAATTTGTTTCTTTGGAATACTATCAGAAATCTGAATTTACATCCCTTCATGAGTGTGAGGCCCTAGCCAGTTGAAATCACAGTAAAGATCCAACAGTTGGAATCAGAGGAAAAAAAAACAAAACAAACCCAAACAAAACAAATGGAAGACTCCATAGAGATGAAAGGACCTGAACTGAGCCCTGAAAGATAGGAGTTGCAAAGGCTGGGGGAAACCTATCCCCCACAGCCCCCCTCTACCCCTTACCATGTGCTAGGTAGGCATTAAACTACATGCTCCACAATCTTTCTGTGCATTCCTCATGACAGCCCTATCAGGTCACATAGCTACTATTTGCCAAATCAGGGATTTAAACTCTTAACCTAACTCCAAAGCCTTTCTTGTCATGCTTTGCTCCTGCTTTGATAATTACAGGTTGTATTATTCTTTGTCTTGGCCAGTTAGATGCTTCTAAATATACCACTAGTTTTTAGTGGATAATTTTTTTTTGTTTTTACTGATTTTTTCCTACAATTTTCTTATCTGCATATATGCTGAATTGTATATTTGCTTTTTCATTTAAATTTTGCTGACTTCTGTTCTTTCATAACTAAACTCAGGTGTAATGTCTTTGCTGAGGCCTCTTCTTCTGGATGTGGTCCCAACAATTCAACAGACTGCTGCGTTGGCTCTTGGGAGACTGGCTAATTATAATGATGACCTAGCAGAAGCAGTGGTGAAGGGTGACATCCTTCCACAGCTTGTTTATTCACTGGCAGAACAGAATGTAAGATTTTTAAAAAATTAGTTATTTTTTTTTGTTTTGTTTTAGATTTTTAAAAATCTGCTTAGTTTGGGTACAGTTGTAAGCTTATAGGCTTTAGAATTTTAGGATGTTAATACAACCTTTAATTCTTTAAACTGCACATAATAATACCTTTAGGGTATTTTACTTTGGGAGTGATAGGCAGCTTTTTTCTATTACTGTTAATATAAGAAAAAAAGATTACACAATTTTTAATGGGATTATATATAAAGCAGTATTTCTGTATATGAGAGTCTTAAACCTGTGGGATCACTCTTTGAGAACTGTATGGAGCCTTAGGCAAATAAAAAGTTGTTTTCAGCAATCCTTATATGCAGGTGAAATCTGGTTAGTGGAAACTGTAAGAGACAGCTTGGAAGCAAGGGGGAGAGAGGCATACAAAAGGAAGGCAAATACATGTAATGGAAGGTTTGATAAAGCATTTTATACCAAGTATGTAAACATGTCAGTTCTTTTAAGGGTCATCTAAGAGTGCCCCAATTTTTCCCCCTCCTGTCTGGTTCTACTCTATACAGTATCACCTAACAACAGTTAAGGACCTCCCTATAGATAGGGTCTTGGTCTGTTTATTCCGTTCTGTTAGTTTATCATAACCTAAGGATATATGTTTCTTGACATATTTTTAAGATTAAATTCCTACTTGCGTAACCAAATGACAAACGATCCAATTTAAAAATGGGCAAAAGACTTGAATAGACATCTATACACATAAGAAGAAGATATACACATGGCCAATGAAGATGAAAAGATATTCAACAGCATAAGTCATTAGGAAATGCAAATCAGAACCACAGCAAGATATCACTTAACCTACTAGGATGCCATGATAAAAAAAAAAAAAAGGAAAAGAAAAAAATAACAAGTGTTAGTGAAGATTTGGAGAAATTGGAGCCCTCATACATTGCTGATAGGAGTGTAAAATGGTGCAGCTGCTATAGAAAACAGTCTGGCAGTCAAGTTAAACATAATTACCACATGACCCCGCAATTCTACTCCTAGTTAGATTTCCAAAAAAAATTGAAAACAGGTGTTCAAACAAAACTTGTACACAAATGTTTATAGCAGCATTATTCACTATAACAAAAGAATGACTGGATAAACAAAATGTTGGACATCCATATAATGGAATATTATCAGTCGTAAAAAGGGATGAAGTGCTGCTGACACATGCTACAACATGGATAAACCTTGAAAAAGTTACACTAAAAAAAGAAGCCAAATACAAAAGGCTACATGTTGTATGATTCCACTTATAGGAAATGTCCAGAATATGCAAATCCATAGAGACAGAAGCAGATTAGTGGTTGCCAGGGGTCGGGGGAGAGGGGAATGAAGAGTGACTCCTTAACATGTATGAGGTTTCTTGTTGGCTGCTGAGAATATTCTGGAACTGGATGGTGATGTTTGTACAACACCATGAATGTGCTAAATGCCACTGAGTTGTATACTTTAAAATGGGTAAAATAGTAAATATGTGTATTTTACCAGAATAGAAAAAATAAATCCTAATTGTTTAAAATTTTGCTTTATTTTTATAGATTGGAGAGTCATTTACTGTCTTTTCTCTACAAGGAATCTCAGAAATTTTATTTTTCTTGCAGATGTTCCTTCTATAGTCAAATACTGTTAGACTTTGTTCTTCCTGGACTCTTAACTCCTTCTTTCAAGGGCGGGTCTGTGTTTTGGTATCCCACAAAGAAGGTTCTCAATAGATCTAAATGTGAATGAATGTCCATTAGTTGTAAAGAGACAAAAAAGTGCTGGGGTGGAAGTGAGGAGAAAGTGAGAATGTGAGTCAGGATTCCCAGGCTTCTGTGTCCTTCACCTACCTGTCCTTTAACTCATTTTTCACAGGATTTAATGTCTTCTTTATGAGGTACAAAGTCCCTGGCGTGGAGCTTTTTTTTTTTTTTTTTTTTAAGGCAATTCTTTTGGTGAGGAATGAGAGAGAAGAGAGAGGAATTTGGAAAAGCGGAAATTAGGAGAAAAGGGAAATGAGATCAGAAGGTGTGAATTATAGGCACTGTAGTTAGCAGTGACTATCTATCAATGGCCAGTAAATTGTGAATTTGAAAATTCTGCCATATAAAAAGTTACCTTAGCTTAAGGTGATGACAGGAAATGTATCACCATTATTTTTCCATGATTATAAGAAAATAATGGAAAGCTACTTTAAAACTCTAAGTTTTATAGTAAGTTAGTAGATATTTGGTTACTGACATAAAAGTAAACTTTATAACAAATATTTTAATATCTACATATGTTAACATTTAAGAAACTAAAGAAATATATCAAATCAAAACATCATTATTAACACAGCATATTTCTTATATCATCAACATATACCAATTTTTGAGATATAATATGTTAAAATATACTTGATGTATTTTTTCCCTCTCCTATAATTTCTGTTGTATCTTAATCTTTTAGCCAAAGTAAATAACATGCTTTCAAAACAGGTGCTGTAGTCACCTAGTCACTTTTAGTCATCAGTGTAAAGAAATAAAAACTTGGAATCTACAATAGGGGGTTGATTGGATTCTATTAATAAAAGACAGAGACCATTACTGTGTCATTATACCAACCTTGAAACAACAGTGAATGCTATAGCCAAATACTTTCTATACATTTAATTTTTTTTGGTTATATGAAGAAAAACATGTTAGTCTTGTGTTTCAGTTTTATTATTTCTCAATCTGATAAAATTTTATATAGAAAATTTTATAAATATGAAGCATTACTTAAAATTCACCTAACAGTAAGTCATTTGTATTTGTTTTAAAAAAGCGTTTCTAAGAGGGGATAAATAACACATCTCCTTGTTTGGTTAGTTTATTTACCAGGAAAGGTTTTAAAATGTATCATGAGCGTTTCGCCTTTATGTTTATCCAGCAATTGGTAGTGCATCTTGAAACATGGTTGTTATTTCAGGATAACTTGGGACACCAAAAGGTTAGTTGAGGTCATGAAAAGCCTACCATGCTTAGAGACTAAGGGCAAGTAAAGGAAATGAATTTGTCAGTGGACAGTTTTGTTGCACATGCTAACAATCTAAGAGTTCCCATGGGTCAAACAAATACTTTTCAGTGTGATGCAGATACAGAAAGTCTCATTATTTTATGAATTGTTAGGAAATACAATGTTTATATTTTATTTTTATAAAGTTTCCAAATGAATATTTCAGAATAAAACATTTGAAATGTAATTTAAGACATATTATTTCAGTTTAGTTACTGAACAAAAACAATAGGGGAACATCAAAAAATAATTTTGCAGGATGTTTTTCATCTTTTGGATTTGAAAGCTGTTGAGCTTTATTTATATTAATAAATAAAATTTATAAAAATTTATAAAATTTATAAAAATGCTGGTTTTAGTCTATATAAGTTTTTATAAGTGCTTAATTCACTTTGAGTTTTATCTATTTTATCATTGTAGCGTTTTTACAAGAAAGCAGCTGCCTTTGTGTTACGAGCAGTTGGTAAACATTCTCCTCAACTAGCTCAGGCAATAGTTGACTGTGGAGCACTGGATACACTGGTGATATGCTTGGAAGATTTTGACCCTGGAGTCAAGGAGGCTGCAGCTTGGGCACTTGGATATATTGGAAGACATAATGCAGGTAATGGAGCATATCTGAAAACAGGATTATTAAAATTTAGATTTATTAGGTAAATCTGGTTTTGCTTAGTGAACTATAGATGCAGTTTTAATGATGTTTCCATACATTATGGGAGATAAGTTTTGAATGATGGCCAAGTTATTTGGATCACAAATTCACAAAAACCTACACATTTCAGTCTTGGGAGAAGATATTTGCAAATGACATATCTGATAAAGGGTTAGTATCCCAAATCTATAAAGAACTTATCAAACTTACCACCCCAAAAAACAATCCAGTTAAGAAATGGGCAGAAGACATGAGTAGACATTTTTCCAAAGAAGACATCCAGATGGCTAACAGACACATGAAAAGATGCTCAACATCACTCATCATCAGGGAAATACAAATCAAAACCACGATGAGATACCACCTTACACCTGTCAGAATGGCTAAAATTAACAACACAGGAAACAACAGATGTTGGCGAGGATGTGGAGAAAGGGGAACCCTCCTACACTGTTGGTGGGAATGCAAGCTGGTACAGCCACTCTGGAAAACAGTATGGAAGGTCCTCAAGAAGTTAAAAATAGAGCTACCCTATAACCCAGCAATTGCACTACTAAGTATTTACCCAAAGGATACAAAAATACTGATTTGAAGGGGCACATGTACCCTGGTGTTTATAGCAGCATTATTAACAATAGCCAAATTATGGAAAGAGCCCAAATATCCATGAACTGATGAATGGATAAAGAAGATTTGGTATATTGCTGGAGGAGAGGTGGGTGGGGGAAGGGGTAACTGGGCAATGGGCATTAAGGAGGGCACTTAATGTAATGAGCCCTAGGTATTATATACAACTGATGAATCACTAAATTTTACCCCTGAAACTAATAATACACTATATGTTAACTAACATGAATTTAAATAAAATCTATAAATAAATAAAATAAAATACAAATCTATTAATATATATTATATACATATATAATATATACATATATAATGGAATATTACTCAGCCATCAAAAAGAATGAGGAAATTTTGCCATTTGCAATGATGTGGATGGAGCTAGAGATTATGCTAAGCAAAATAAGTCAGTCAGAGAGACAAATACCATATGATTTCACTCATCTGTAGAATTTAAGAAACAAAACATAAACATAGGGGAAGGGAAAAAAAAAAAAAAGAGGGAAGGAAGCAAACCGTAAGAGACTCTTAACTATAGAGAACAGAGGGTTGCTGGAGGGGAGGTGGGCGGGGGAGGACTAAATGGATGATGGGTATTAAGGAGGGTACTCTTTGTGATTAGCCCTGGGTGTTACATGTAAATGATGAATCACTAAATTCTACTCCTGAAACCAGTACTACACTCTATGTTAACTAAAATTTAAATAAAAATTTGAAAAGAAAAAAAAAACCCTGCACATTTCAGTCCTTATCCTAGTTAGTAGAAGAGAAATTTGAAGATAGAAAGGGATGGTAGTGGGGAATGAGGAGAGTGAGATACTGATGGATTCTCAAAGATGTTGGTAAATTGGTTCAGTGAAAAAATTTTAGTTTTTCACACTTCAGGGGATATTGGGTCTTTACTTTCTCTCATGATAGGGGTATTCTAAACCAAGCAGGAGACATATCGCATGAATGAATAATGTTGAAGAGATATGGACATGATAACTTTCTAGAATACATTTGTATTGAACCCATACCGGGCAAGAGGGAGGGGAAAGAGCAGTACCTCCTCTTATAAACGGACAGCTCAATGAATTCATCAGGAAGGACATGGACCTCTTGTGTGAAGTTTGTGCGGACACACCTGATTGGTAAAGAATATAGAGGGAACAAAATTGCCCCCACCACTTTACGGAAGTTGCTAAACAATACGAACAAATAATACAACAAGAAAATACAGTTTTAAAACAAACATATGTAAAAACGATCAACTTTGCTAGTAATCAAAGAACTGCATATTAAAACAGTGAAAATGTCTTTCCCCACTTATTATTATTATTATTATTTAGGGGGAAAAAAGAGTAAAGCAGAAATATAGCCAAATGGTTAAGAGCACTGTGGACAGGATCTGAGTTTGAGTCCAAGTTCTACCATTTAGTTTCTGCATAACCTTGGACATGGCTTTTACACTTTCTGAACCTTAACTTCCGCATCTGCAAAAGATGGTACCTAAAAGTAGGTGTTTCAGAGATTTATTGTGAGCACAATGAGGTAATATATGCAAAGCACTTAGACAAGTACTTGGCATATGGTAAATATTCAATAAATACAAGATATTAGTATTAATACTGATGTTTGTGGCCGTTGGTGGAGGCACTACAAATTGTTTAAACTTGTGGTAAGCAGTTTGGCAAAACTAATCTAAGTCATGAAAGAATTCGTGGTTACTCTAAAAAGCCTGCTTTGGGAATTCATCCTAAGGGAAGAATTCCACAGAATGAAAAAGTTATATTCATGCAAATGTTATTGTAGTAATATTTGTAATATCAAAAACCCTCAAATATTTGGCAGGAATATAGTGGTTAAATTATGGTAGTTTTTACTTAATGGAATTTCACTTGGCGATTGAAAAAGGTAATTATGAATCTTACGTGGTAATATGGAAACATTGTAATGTAAAAAGAGAGATAAAATTATATATTGCAATTATAATAATATAAAAATAAGTTTTTATGTGGACATAAATTACAAAGAAATACATGTTTGTGTTACTAGGGTGATAGAATTAAGGATATACTTTCTTTGCTTTCCAGATTTTTCAGTGTGTGTATGTATAAAACAATAGCTACCACTTACTGAGTACTTACTGTGTGCCCGGCTCGGTGCAGTATGCTTCAGATACGTTATCTCATTTTGATTACAGCTACCCATAGGGTAGGTATTACTTTCCCTGTTAAACAGAGAAAGAAAATGTAATTCAGAGAGGATACCCGAAGTTATGTTAGTGGTGGAACTAGAATTTGAGTCTAAATCTGACTCCAAAGCCCATGTTCACCATTGACCATAACAGCGTCACTACATATTTCTTAAAAGAGCATTGAAGAAGAAATTCAAAATGGAAATAGAAGAGGCTCTCCCATGGTTATGTTTAATTTGGTTCTTAAAATGGCGACACTGTTAGACAAAAAGGAAAGAAAATGATAGAAAAATAAATGGAGAAAAAAAACTATTTTCATGCTTAGAATGATTCTGAATTAGTATATTAAAATGATCTCCTTAATATCTGGATTTTGGTTTTCCAAATAGGGTCACCTTAGGACTATTGTTTAATATATGTTGATAGAGGAAACTAAGGCAGTTTTTTATTTTTAAGATGTATTTATTTATTTGTTTCTTTATTTGAAAGAGAGAGTGGGTGGGGGAAGGGACAGAGGGAGAGAGAGAATCTCGAGCAGACTCCCCGCTGAGCACGGAGCTGACAGGGGGCTTGCTCCCACGACCCCGAGACTGTGACCTGAGCCCAAATCAAGAGTTGGGTGCTTAACCAACTGATCACCCCAGGCACCCCTAAGGCAGTGTTTTAAATCAGAAGCTGGTTATCATGGGAAGCTGGTTATCATATTTAGGTTTGGGTTTTTGTGGTTGTTGTTATTGTTGCTTTTGGTCAGAAGACTTTATGGCGAACAGATTGTAACATGAGTATTTCAAGAGGTGCAGCAAAGGAGCTTTGAGGGACTGCCGTACAGATAGACTCTCAGGCAGGTGCCTATAGATAACCTTTCCATATCTCCCTTTCGTTGAGTCTGAGGCTAAATGATTATAGTTCATAAATAGGATCTGTCTTAGGGATTCCATTCCAATTTCTTGCTATAATCTGGCTCCCACATGGAATTCCCACTGTAATTTCAATATTTCACAGTAGTTAGGGGTCTGGAACCCAGAAGCTCCCTGAAGAGATTACTGCATAGATTTCTCAGAAGGAAAAGGAATTGTTACCCAGTAGGCAATAAGAGAAGTCATCATTCACATCCTGAATCAGTGAAAATAGAGGGTTTACTTCTAAATAATCTGATTTCTTTTTCAATGATTTCCTAAAAATAGAATATGTTAGATTAATGGGAAGACATTCATTCAGTGTTTTCTTCTTAGTATTAGAAGAACATTTTATTAGTTCAAGAAATAGAAGCCTTAAATGGAGATGCAAAAGAAATAAAGTGTACCTTTACGGGCAATAGAAGGAAAACATTTTGTGTCTAGGAAACAAAAATAAAGTTAAGTGTGCAATTGGTAGAAGAGAAAAACCAATAGGCACCATCTGACTTGTTCTTATTTGAAAAATACAATTTCTGAAAGTTACTTCTATGTGTAGATTTTAAAGTATTTTAGATAATCAAAGGGAACTGGGGACTAACAGCTCAAAAGTGTGTGGGGTTTCTTTTCTTTTTAACTCTGTATAAATCGTGTCCTTAAATTTCTGTGGTTGAATCACGAGTTATTGAATATTCTTGATGTATGTACCTCTTAATTTGAAGATAAATAAGCTATTTCTTTATATTTTCTCTGGCGTTTAAAATAAAAGCTGAGGTAAAGTCTTCTCAGGCTGGTTCTTCTTCCTTCTTGCTGGATTCTCCCACTCTGCAGCATTTTTCTGGTGACATTATTCTATTAACATATTTACCTCATCAGTGTCACCCTCTCATTGTTTCTGAGGATTAGTCTTGCTTTTGGAGATGCAAGGGATGAGGCGAGGGGCCTGTGTGGACCGGAAGTGTGAGGGGTGAGGAAGGAACCTGAAGGAACTCTGCAGGTGCAGGGCTTCCACCCGGAGAGGCCCAGAGGAGCGCTTCGCCCTCTCCAGGCCCTGCTTCCCTGTTCCCCACTGGCAGCCTCTCTCTGGCTTCCTTAGTGTGTGGAGCACAGCAGCTTCATGGAGGAGAGCTTCCAATGAAGCAAGGGTGTGGCTGCAGTGAGGGCCGCACTTGGGACTAAGGTGAGAGCAATAGCCTGGCTGGAGGGGTGAAGAAGGAGGAGCCATACAAGGGTTTTGTAGGAATGATTTTCCACAT